CTGTAATAATAAACACACAATGTGTCTGGTAAATCTTAAAAAGTAGCGTTTTTCAAGTAACCGCTTTAAAATAATACATAACATAGTAATTTATTTAATTTAAAAGTATTTCTAACCCTAACCTTATATTTTTTAGCATAAATTAAAATTCTTATTCTAAAGAAATATATTAATTTTTGAATAGTGAATAAAAGTGAGAAAAATATTCTAAAAGTGTTTGCTTTGTATATTTTGTAGCATTGTTTGTGGGTTTGCAAGAAGGTCCCTGGCCAGAGCTAATGCTGTTTGGGGGGCCATGGCATGAAAAAGTTTGGGAACCCCTCATCTAGAATGTAATAACAGAGAGTCAAACGAAGCAGATTTTATGTTAAAATGACCTGCCAAACAACTACAGACTGTGACAGAGCACATGCCACTGTGCTTATGCATTACCCAAGCAGAAGAAAAAATAGTTCCCTCCAAAAACATATTATTAAGACAAGATTGGAATAGTTTAGTTATTTTCCACTATTTTCCTGTTAATGATATACATTATATGAAACAACTGAAGTATCAAAGTATCGATTTTTTGATTTTATCGATTCTAGAACATAAAGTTCTGGTATCGGTGGTATCGATATTTCAGTGTCGATCTGCACATCACTACTCCAAGGTGTCAGGGCTCAAGGGGTGGATGAGATCCGCCCTGATTTCCTCAAGACTCTAGTTGTTGTGGGGCTGCCCTGGTTGAAAAGCATATGCAACATTTTATGGACATCAGGGGCAGTGCCACTGGATTGGCAGATTGAGGTAGTGGTTCCTGTCTTCAAAATGGGGGACCGATTACAGGAGAATCACTCTCCTTAGCCTTCCTGGTAAGGTCCTTGCGGGTTACGTCCTGGCCATGGAACACTGGACCAACACTTTACCCTCACTAGGAACCTTGAGGGGTCATAGGACTTTGCTAATCCAGTCTTCATGAGTTTTGTGGACTTGAAGAAGGCATTCAACCATGTTGCTCAAGGTACACTGTGGGGGGTGCTACGCAAGTATGGGATTGTGGGTCCATTGTTATGGGTCATTCAGTCCCTATACAAGCGGTGCGAGAGTTTGGTTCACATAACCAATAGAATGTCAGACCCCTTCAAAGTGGGAGTTGGACTCTGCCAGGGCTGCCCTTTGTCACAGATTCTGTTCATAACTTACATGGACAGAACTTCTCAGTGCAGCCAGGTGGTGGAGGGAGTCTGGTTCAGTGGCTTCAGGATTGCATCTCTGCTGTTTGCAGTTGATGTGGTTCTGTTGGCATCATTGTGCCGTGATCTTCAGCTCTTGCTGGAGTGGTTTGCTGGAGTGGTTTGCAGTAGGAAGCAGCTGGGAAGTAGCTGGGATTGGGATCAGCAACTTCAAATCTCAGTCCATGGTCTTCAGTTGGAAAAGGGTAGATTATTCTTTTTGGGTTGGCTTCTGCAGTGTTGCAGATTCTGTACTGGTCTGTTGTGGTGAAGAAGGAGCTGAGCTTTAAGGCAAAGCTCTCTGATTACCAGTCAGTCTGGGTTCCTACCCTCACCTATGATCACAAACTTTAGGTAGTGACCAAAAAAACTATGCAGATACAAGCAGTCGAAATGAGTTTTCTCCAGGGTAGCTGGACTCTCTCTTAGCGATAGGGTGAGAAGTTCAGTTATCCAGGATAGATTCAGAATAGATTCCGCTACTCCTCCACATTGAGAGGAGCCAGTTAAGGTGGTTCAGGCATCTGGTAAGGATGCCTCCTGGATGCCTCCCTAGAAAGATTCTTCAGGTATGTCCAACTGAAAGGATGTTTAGAGCACACATAAGTTCATTGTTGCCCTTCTTCCAGTCAAATTCAGCTTGTCTCATTGCTTGAATCTAGCTGTTTTCTGCATCTTAAATTGGGAAAAGTGACAAAAATAGTCTTACATTTGGGGATGATGGCTGTATCCTGAGTCACTGTTACAAGTACTGTAGCACAATGATTTGTGGTTCGTCCGGTGGAATGTGATGCAATTTTCACAAATTTTAAACTTAAACATAGCTAAACCACATTTTGTAATTGTTACAGATAGAGCATATTATGTTTGTACAGGTGTTGAGTCATCATAGTCATGTGACTAGTGTTCTAAAAATACTACAAGTGGAACCCTTCATTGCTGGTATTACAGTAATTTTCAAATGACAGCAGGTGGAACAATGCTTTTATAAGCACTGCGATTACGTACCTTTGGGATTGAGTACTGATTCAGAGTTGTGTCTTTATTTGCTATGCGAGGCAGATTGACTGGAACAATGTTTCCCATCCTCTGCATCTCATGGATGACTGCGTCGGTGTACGGCATGTTTTCTCTGTCAGTTATAGAGGGCTGTCTGGATGGACCAATCACAGCATCAATCTCAGCCTGGACTTGCTCTGCAAGACAAACAGTAAGTTTGTGCAGGACAAACAGTAAGTTTGTGCAGTTCACAAGTATCCAATAGTAGATTTTCTCCTAGTTTATTTATGAGGACCAATAACGAGCTGAATCTACAGTATAGTTAAACACATATAAGAAACAAAAACAGTACCTTGTATATGTGGGTAGGAAATCATGTAAAGCAGCCCCCAGTGTAAAGTAGTTGTGGTGGTTTCAGTTCCAGCAGTGAATAGGTCCAGAGTGCAAGCACACAAGTTAGTGAGATCAAAACCAGACTCTTTGTCTTCTTTCTTTTATAAAAACACAAGAGACAGATGAGACATTCTGTTGACATTTATACTGAAGATGTTATAAATGAACAAAAGACTCACCTCTCCCATTTCAATGAGGAAGGAGTCGATGTAATCTCTTGGTGAAGAAGGGTCGAGATTTTCTTTGTGCTCTTTGATTCTGATTTCAACAAAGTCAATTAACTTCTGTAACAATCTGAATATTTTCTTATGAGGTCCAGGAACCCATCTCATTAACCAGGGCATTGCATTAAAAATCTGTAGAAAAAGGAGAAATTATTCTGATTATTGATTATTTATTAACCTTTATTTAACCAGGGAAATCCCATTAAGATTACATATTTCCTTTGTAAGGGAGGTCTGGGCCTGAAGGCAGCCTAACATCTTTAGATTGTGGGAGGAAACTGGGGTACCCAGAGTAAACCCATAAAAAAACAAGAACATGCAAACTACTCAGGAAGACCCCCAGTCCAAACAAGGGATAAAACCTAAAACCTTTTTGATGTGAGGCATCAATTCCAGCCACTAATCTCCTGGTTGGGACCATACCTGTTTAACCCTCATGGCACAGACACTCTTAACACCTTAACACACAGCACAGATACAGAATGTAGCCCCTGAACTGAGACACAGTTTGAGACTCACTTGTTTAAGAATGTCAAAATGTCACAGCAAGCTCCAAGATACTTGGTGTTCCCCCACCCCAAAGAAATGCCTGACTGAGTCTGAACTGCAAAAAAGTGTGTGTTCTCAAAAAAGTGATGGCAGGAGATGCACTGACTTCAAACAAATGATGAATGCACAGAGATGTGGTGCATGATATGCTGTGAAAATTTCACTTATCAGACAAAAAAGGGCCTTTTATAGAGGCACTAAAAACTCCAGTCATCCAGCTTTTAAGCATACAAATAGCAAAGAGCACCAGAAAGTAGTTCAAGCAATTGATAATGAAAACAGATACCACCAATACCAGAGGCCCAGTGGTCCACTCAACAAATGGTAAATGACTTGATTTTATATAGCGCTTTATCAAGTCTCTACGGACTCCAAAGTGCTTTATACTTCAATTATTCATACATACATTCACACACTGAAGGGGATAAGCTACATTGTAGCCACAGGGTCAGACTGACAGAGGTGGGGCTGGCAGGCACCGGCACCACCGGACTCTCTGATCACCATCAGCAGGCAAGGTGGGTGAACTGTCTTGCCCAAGGACACAACAACTGAAATGGATGGAACGGGGGATCAAAGACAAAAGAAAGACAAACTGAGTGAAAAACAGCAACAGGCACTAAGTAATGATATCCTTCTAGCCTTTCACAAATTGAAACATGGATGTCCCCTACATTCATATGAGAAAGATATTTTGCTTCTGAACAAGCCTGGCGTTAAACATCGGGAACACGTATCATTGTCGAGAACGGGGAAGCTTCATCATTCAGTGAATCATACAGATAAAACCTTCAGCTTTGAAAGATAAACTCCAAGCAGCTGAATTTTGGCGTTCTTTGATGGATCAGAAGATATAACAAAAATGAATAGGAAATATTTATGTTGTTTCTATGTCCATGGACTTTTCAGCTCAGATTTCCTTGGATTAATTAATCTGGAGGCCAACTGAACAGCACAGGACATGGACGAACTTGTGCTACTGTTCCATGTTTGCTGTTTAACGAAGTGGAAGACCAAGTTGGTCTCTAGTGCAACGATGGAGCCACTGTTAATGTTGGAACATGCAAGTTTCTTCCCAAATTACATCAGATGATGGATATCAAGGATTTCCTTTCACACCTTGGAGAACTGCAACAAGTCAGCTGATTGCACAGTCCCACACAGAGTCATTTAATCTATCCACTGTCAACTTGTTAAGGTTTTAATTAAATACAGGGTGGGGTAGGGGGCGGCAAATCAAACTTCACAGCTAAAGATGATACGTGAGGAAAAAGGCATAGCCTTTGTCAAATTGCCCAAATGGAGTACGGAGGCAGTAGATTCTGTTGAAAATATGGAGACGATGTTACAATTGTTTCAACACATCACATTTTTGAATTCCTGGAGTTTGATCCGACCGCAACATTTACTTCTAAATTTTCTGTTCTATTTTTGGCAATAGAAATGTTGGCATTCTTAGTGACTTTGGCCATTTTCAGGTCAAGTAAGGGAAAAGTGTGTATTTCAAATGTTTCCAAGGTGGGTTTAAAGGCAGAAGTCCTGCAGGAAGTTAGAAAAAATACATTTTTTCTATAATACACAAGTCAGTATGGTTCAGTAACTACTACAATAATTCTGTGATGTACTAAGTGAAAATGTCTCATCATACCTTATCTGCTTCAGCAGAAATGAAATCTCTTTGCCACCCTTTTATTACTGACAGCTATTCAGCATACACAGGAACACACATACTAGTCTCTTTTTTATGATTACAATTTCTAAAGTTGATGATGTAATATATTTAATGAATCCATTGATGCGAACTTGACAAAGTTTGAACTCTTTGCGTTAATAAGTTCATTCAGTTCTGAAAACAGAGGCTCACCTGTATTGACAAACTTCCTTGTAAGTGGACAATTTCATTGAGGTATTGAAGAATAGTCTTGTACTTCTGGTCACTGTACTCAAACCGACTCCCAAACACCAAACAGCAGATGATGTTGGACACAGCATTGTTTATCAGTGACTGGGCATTAAAAGGTTTTCCTGTCAAGTAAGGAAAAAAATGCATGTTAAATTGAATGATTCTGGGTCGAAATGTAAAAAATCTCAAATTAACTATTGAAAAAAATGCATTCGTTGCAGCAATTTCAAGCAATTGAGAACAGGTGGAGGTGTATGCATGTATGTAAACTCTAGTCTCCAGTCCAGTGTTTGTCATGACCTTGGCCTGGATGACGATAACGCTGACTCTCTTTTCATTAACACAGACATGGATAAGGGTAAGAATTTATCATAATTTATTGTCCACCAGATTCAAATCCTATTGTTTTCATGAATAAGTTAGATGAAATTGTATTGTATTGTATAACTGTATCCTCTGTGATTTTAACATAGATGTCTCAAAGGATGACACTATTAAAATTGAGTTTTACAACATCCTACACTCTACCTCCTTCTTTTCCACCAGAAATATTTACACCAGAGTAACACACTCCTCTAGTTCTATTATCAACAATATTGTTACTAATTTCCAAAATACTAAGCTGGAGACTGATGTGGTCATGTCTGATACATCAGAACATTTTCCTGTTGTGACGTTTCTAAATCACCACATTAATTATAAGATAACTTGTAAACTGCTTAATGAAAGAACTCTGTTACGGTTATGTGTAAGCCTAGAGACCAAAGCTTGGACAAGTGTTTTTAATTAGTGTGATTCTGATGCTGCATTTAACAATCTGATTTATGAAGTATGTGAAACTATCAGCAAAACTATATTAAACATAAACCAAACAAGAGGTACTTTAAAAACCCTACCGATCACAACAAAATGAAGTATTGCTTATGCAGAAATAAGTTGACACATAATAAGAAGGAGCAAATGCAATTATTAAATTAAACATATAAATTTAGTGCAGGATGACTCCAAAAACACTTAGTCAGTCATAAATAATGTCCTTAATAGGGGCCAGAAACCACAGGTGCTCCTGGAAACTCAAATTGGACATCTACATCAGCTTGGTGACAGTTTTAATAATTACTTTATATCTGTTAGACAAAACCTTGCTAACAAAACCAAGCATTCCCAGGAAGACTCTTACAAAAATTATCTTTCTGAACATTACCTACACTCTTCCTAAATGAGACCTACTGATGAAAGGGAACTAAACACAATCATTAAAAAAATGAAGAGTTCTTATACAGCTGGAGTTGATGCAATGTGCAGTAAAATCTTGCTTGTAATTTCTAATTCAATTCTTAAACATTTTGTTCATTGCATCAACCATCATTACTCCATGGGGTGGTGCCAAAAATAGCTAAAATTGCAAAAATCTTTTAAATTTATATATCTGGAAACAAAAATGACATTATAAGTTACAAATAACTTCTGTTCTTCTAACTTTAGGATTCTCAAAAAAGTTGTGCATAGCAGACTAACTGAATACCTTCATAAACAACTAATTCTCTCAAATTCTCAGTAGTTTCAGAAAAAAAGAGCTCCACCTGTATGGCTATTATGGACCTTATAAAACATTATTGAGGCAGTTGAATGGGGGAGATTATAGTGTTGGCATTTTCTTGGACCTCTCTAAGGCTTTTGACACAGTTGATTTTAATATTGGGTAAGTTGTACCATTATGGGATTAGAGGTATGGCACATAACTGGTTTGAAAGTTACCTTTTCGATAGACAACAACATGTATTTATTAATCATCAAAAATGGGGTCCACCAAGTATATTAAACTGTATGAAATTATATGTACTCAGGCTGCCTCGATAAGGTTTCAGTAGCTTTTCGGAGACCTGATTCACACACTGCTATCTTGTAGCTATGCACTATGTGGACATGATATTTGTTTTTGATTGTTTTTGATTGTGTGATTGTGTGTGAATAAGCTGATGAAAATTAAATGTTTAAACCTTCTTTTTGTACCTTGCTGTTCAGCAAAAGCCTCTGTGAGATACTGACACTCCTGCTGGATGTAAAGGGCCAGGTTTTTCTTGCCCAGACCAAAGTTTCTCAGCGTGTGAAGAGCAAATCTCCTCTGATTCTTCCACGGATTACCGTTTGACATCACAAGACCTTGTGGGGAAAGAAATTTTAAGATACCGATGAACTTATCATACAACCACAAAACTTACTTTTTGAAACAAATCGCGAAAAACAAAACACCTTTGTTCTTGAAAAACTCTGAAAACAGTGGGACGATGGGACGATCTATGAAGTCCTCTCCCTCTTCAACCAGGGCCTTCCTCACGCTTTTATAACCATTTATGACCACAACTCTTTCACCAGAGAGATGAAGGCTGAAAATGTCTCCATATTTCTCTGCAAACTGAACACAGACACCAAAAGGAGAATAGTTTTCTTTCACAGTTTGGAATACCTGCCATTAAAAGAACATATATGTCAGAAGAAACAGACTTGTGCAAAGATGTTCTATGTCCACTCAGAAGTGGTCCAAACATTCACACTGAATCGTGTCATTAATAATAGTGAGGATTATAAAGTCTATAATTAGCGTTAAAGGACTGGAAGGAATGAAAGACAGCATTCAAAACACCCATTGGACAGTTTTAATTTCTAGTCATGTCATTTTGCCTCCCAAATGTCTCAGCTGCTTTGCAGGCCCTAATAAATGCTATCCTGTTATATACTGTAAATGTGTTTGTGTTGGTCTACCACAATGACATACTCCTGGAACAGCACAAGACTGGGGTATGACAGGTATCACAAGGTTTTTGGAGAATAAATTGTATGTTAAGATGGAAAAATGTGACTTCCATGTTAGTGGCCTTCCTGGGGTATATGTATATTTGAGAGCAGGCAGGTGAAGGCTGATCTGGAGAAAATCCAAACGGTAGCTGACTGGTCCTTAAAAGTTTTCCTTGACCAACCTTACCTTCATCCATAGACGTCGCAACAATAGTAAGTGAAGGGGACGTCCCCCCCCCCCCCCCCACACTTTTCAAAAATATCCTTTTGGACCCCTCCACTTTCATCTCATCAGTTCACCCAGCGCTGTTTTTGTTAGGCGACTTGATGAAAGAATACATTCTGCTTGATTGACAGGAGAAAACTCATCACACTAAAAGTCTGCTCCAGGTTTTCCTGGTTACCACCAACCAGCCTGCAGGTACCAGGTAGGAGCGGCTCTGGGAGCGAGCAGCCGGAGGATAGATGACCGGCGTTGGACTTCCTTAGACGAGAGGAAGATGACGATGAATTCCTGGAGCGCAAATATTCAACCTAAAACTAACTTCTAGCTGCTTCTAGAAGGCATCGTGTGTGACTGTATCAGACACAGAACATTAGGAGATGTTTTACAGAGAAACAGAAAGTAAGTTAAACTCTCCATAGAACAGATTTATCCTGTGTATAGTTAATGCAGTTAGCTGCTGGCTACACCTAGCTTAGATATCACAACCAATTATTGCTGTGCCTACAGCATCTGCTAAAGTACAGAGTGATCAGCTGGTGATATTATTATCAGCAAGAATAACATGATCACATCAGAAGTTTATTGGGTGTTTTTATTAAAGTATAAAATGATTGCATTCTAAAATGTATTGTGAGAGTGTTTTTTTTTATTATCTTAGAATAGTTTCAGCATAAAACAGAGCTTGGTTCATGTCTGAAACCTTTAATGATCAGATGATGAGACTGTTGACTCATAATCACTGATGAAACCAGTGATTTTTTCTGACTTTCTAAAGCTGACTGACTTCAGTTGGCTGTAAAACACCTAATGTTTCATCCATCTTCATGTGATGCAGGAGCTGATGAGAGTCAGGGTCAGCAGGTAGGGACAGAGCGCTGTGGCTCAGGTGAGTGATGATGATGATGATGATGATGATGATGATGAAGGTGCTGCTGGGAAATTATGAATGAAATCCAAAATGTTTACTCAAATCAGTATTTATTTTGAATCCATTCTAACAGTTGTGGTAAGTTTATGAAATATATTACTGATTTAAAGGCATAATCTACAGCAGTGATTCCCAACCAGGGGTACGTGTACCCTTTGGGGTACGTAAGTCTATTACAGGGGGTACGTGGAAAAATTTCCCAGATGTGTAAAAAAATTAATAAAATAGGACTAGAATATGTAGGGCCCTATGATTTCAGCAATGCAGGAAATGCAGACAAAATCACGGAATTGACACAAAATGGAATCCAGTATAAAATGCGGAATCTCTTGGAATTTGCTCATTTGGTCGAATTTTTGATGTTTTTTGGAAAATACAATAGATTTTGGACGCTACTGCTTTTTGTGCCTGCCGTTACCTGGTTTATTTATGTAATTATTTATTCACTTTCAAGGAAACATTTGATTTGAAAAGAATAAAATGCCTGAGAATCAAACGTTCTAGGTGGTTAAATGCCATTTAATAATCAGTTGTTGTACATTATAGTTTCGGAGAAGCATCATTACGTTTGACAGAGGGAGTACTGGTGGAATGACAAATTGGCTTAGGGGGTACACAAGTCTAAAAAGGTTGGGAATCACTGATCTACAGCATGAGTGAACTGAATTTTATTATATTTTGAGCAGCCTCCCTGTTCTGAACCCAAAAGCTGTTCACTTATTGAACCCCACGCAGTAATTTCCCGGGGCCGGCAGCGGCGAGCTCACAGGCCCTGCCGGCAACCGCCCTTGCCAGAGTAGATCCAGGCATGGACACAGAGGCCCGGGTCCCCAGGGCGCACCACACCCAGGCCGAGGCCCGATAGGGCCAGAGGACCCAAGCCCCACCAGGCAGCCACCGGGCCGAGCCGGCACACGCCCAAGTGCCCAGCCCTAGACACTGAGGGCCACCAGTGCACCAGCAGGCAGAGGCAAAGCCCACCAGAGGGCAGAGTGGCAGGGGAACGAAGCCCACCACCAGCATTGGGCTCCCAAGTGAACCAGAAGATGGGGCAACCCAAGACCCAGCATGACACATATCCAATCATACACAGACACAATCACACAATCCCACCCTCATCCTCACAACCACTCATTCAAAGACACACCAGATGGACGCAATACTCCACTCGCACCCCCATATATACTCTATACCCCCAGGTCCAGGATATGCACCCACCCCCGACAGAGGGCAGCACACATCCAAACCCAGGAAGTAGACATATTCATTCTGGGGTGTAGAGGAGCAGACAGCAACGGCCCGGCCTGGACCGCACCAGGCTGACCGGCCAGTCCCCACCCCCAACTCTTCCGCTGCAGCGAAGCCACGCCCCCAACCACCCCACACACCTCCAAAGGCTAAATGCGCACCCCAAGCCGACCAGCTGCTGGACTCCGGCAGCCACCCTGGTCAGCAGGCCAACCACGGCAACCAGGAGCCATACCCTGGGAATCCAAACGGCCCCAGAGAAGCTGGAGTGCCAGCCCCACCCCCGGCGTCTCCCCAGACCCTGAGCCCACCTGTAGCCCAGGCCCCCACCAGACGGTCTGCCCCTCCTCCAGACCCCATCCCCAAATGGAAATCGGGGGACGGAGGAGTGAAAAAGACCCCCCCCCCCACACACACACACACACACCTCCTCCCTCAGATGTGCTGCTGATGCATGTTGTTCTATAATGCAATTAAAATGGGGCAGAAGGAGGGGGCGGGGTTATGGAGGTGAGCTGAACACCACACTTTAATTTGAGCTCTGCACCACATGGCCGTATTTAAGTAAAAAACTTCACTTTATGGTGAGCTCCGTTGTGATTTCCTTTGGGCCTGCACAGGCTTTGTCATTGGAAAACGTCTGGCCTCATTCATTCGACAAAATGGTCAGACAACAGAAAACCAGAAATAAAAAAGACACCCCAGCACCCTTTGGTAGCTCTTCTCAAGACGGCGACCATATGCCGACATCTGATGTTTTCGACGCCCTTGATCCAGCTATGGCTAAGGCTTTTGAAGCTATGACTGCCAACTTCATCAAATTGATTGATAACAAGCTTAGCCCACTTGCCGAAACTGTTCGTCAACACGGCGAAGACATCAAAGCAGCTGAAACGCGACAGGATGAAGCAGAGGCTAGGATACTAGCATCAGAGAATTCTGCGACGACGTGTCTCAGCAAGATTGAACTACTGGAGAAACAAGTTGCTGTCTTGTCTGAAAAAGTGGATATGGCTGAGAACTACAATCGACGTCTTAATATTCGCCTCCTTGGTCTGGCTGAGGGCAAAGAGACTGACCAGCCGGTTAAGTTTCTTGAATCGTGGCTCCCTCAATTACTTCAACTTCCTGCTGAATACAGATCTATCAAGCTGGAAAGAGCACACCGTGCTTTAGCCCCTTTACCAGACCACCTCGACCTCTGCTCGTATGTTTCCACTCATTTCAGAATAAACAACTCGTGATGGAGGCTGTGCGTCGTGTTGGCGGTGATGGCGCATTGGTCTTTGATGGATCGCGGATTTCTTTCTACAACGACTTCTCCTCATCTGTCATCAAGAAGCGCAAAGCGTTTGATGTGGTGAACGTCGGCTGAAGGGGCGAGGGATTTCCTACGGTTTGCTTTACCCAGTTATTCTTCAGATGTCACACAATGATTTAAAGAAGAGATTCAACACTCCAGAGGAGTTTGGTGACTTTATAAACTCACTCAAAGACTAACTCATTAGACTTTTACTGTCTGCCCAGCGTGGACCCCTCTACTATTTGTGACTTAATTTAATAGGGCTCATGTGTTTACATTGGGCCTAGCGGTGCGGTTATTAATTTGGTGATCCACAGGTGTTGCTTGATAATGGAAATGGATTGTAAGATTGCTATCCCTTAGTTAGCAGGGAAAGACCCCTCTTTATTATTATTTTTTGTTTTATGTGTTGTTGTTTCATTTTTGTGTATTTGTATTTTTTGTTCGCATGTAGCTCAGAATTTTGCTATTTCTGATCTATTTATTTAGAATAGCCTACAATCAGACAATTTCTTTTTTGTTTTTCTGATCTTATTTTTTATTTCTTTGGCTTTATGACCCCTACACCCCTTTACATTTTTGATTTTCCTATATGGATAGGTCTTGTGGTAATATTAAATTTTGMTCCTGGAATGTCAGAGGGCTAAAAAAACCTGCAGAGGAAAGCAGTTTTTTCTTTATTAAAGTGTGAAGCGATCTCTCTTGCATTTTTTTCAAGAAACACATTTTGAGAATGTTGATCTAGCTAAATTTTGTAAAGGCTGGGTTGGTCAGATTTTTGCCACAGCTTACTCATCTTATGCTAGGGGTGTGGCAATCTTGATACATAAAAAAGTGCCTTTCACTATCTTAGAATGTGTCAAAGACACTCAAGGCCGTTTTATTAGGGTTATTGGGACACTTTTTGGACAAAACATTTCATTGTTGAACTTTTATTGCCCTCCAGGTGCTCATCCTGATTTTCTTTTCAAAACATTCTCGGACTTTGTAGAACTGACTTCTGATCATTTTATTGTGGCGGGTGATTTCAACTGTGCTATTGATCCCCATGTTGATAAAACACCAGTGGGTAACACCCCTATATCCAAACAAGCTATGATGCTCTCCTCCATATGCTTAGATTTAGATTATATAGATGTCTGGAGAAGTTTACATCCAAAAGATAAAAAGTTTACCTTTTTTTCCCATCCTCACAGTAGTTATTCTAGATTAGACTACTTCTTTGTTCCTTCTCCTAAAATGTCTCGGGTTCTTTCATGTTCTATTGGTAATATTATTCTATCAGATCATGCTCCAGTATATATGAATTATACTTTTTCTGATTTTGGAGCTCAGTCTAAATTTTGGAGACTTAACCCTCTGCTTTTAAGAGATAATCGATTTCCTCCACACTTCATTTCTGAATTGAAGATTTTTTTTTCCTATTAACTCGGTTCCATCGATAAATGCCAGTATTCTCTGGGAGACGTGTAAGGCATATTCCAGGGGCCTGATCATTTCTTTTATGGCATATAACAAAAATCAAAGGCTTGAACATATTAATTGCCTCCATTGCAAGTTGACTGAATTGGAGAAAACATATCTGTCTGCTCCAAATTCTGACATATTTAAAGAACTCTCTACTGTACGAGCTGCCTTGAATAATCTTCTTATTTTTAAAGCTGAACATTCCTTAAAATTTGCTAGGCAAAAAATTTGAGTCTGGAGATAAACTGGGAAAATATTTGGCTTACCTTATTAAAAAAAGATCGGCCTCTCAGACTATAGTCTCAATCTTAGGCGCTGATGGAGTGAGGCACTCCGATCCTAGAGCCATTAATGCTGAGTTTACTTCTTTTTATTCTAACTTGTATAAGTCAGAACTGCCTGATAATGCCACGGCTCAGATGCATTCTTTTTTCTCAGGTTAACTTTTCCACACATCTCAGAGGTCCAGAAAAAAAATTTCTCAATGCCCCTATTTCTACGGAGGAAGCTTTTTCAGCATTACAAATTATACGTTCAGGAAAAGCCTCAGGTCCTGATGGATTTGGTTCAGAGTTTTATGAGTTTAATAATATTTTGTTAGATCCTATGTTAGCCATGTTCGACCACTCCTTCACTGCTGGTATTCTTCCTCCTCTAAGAGATTCTAATATTGCTCTCATTCTTAAGAAGGGGAAAGGTCCACAAAACTGTGCTTCTTATAGACTTATCGCTCTGCTAAATTCAGATCAAAAGCTTCTTTCTAAAATCTTGGCTTCAAGGTTAGAAAAAGTACTCCCTGAAATGATTAATTTGGATCAGACGGGTTTTATTAAAGGCCGTCAATCCTCTGATAATATGAGACGATTGCAAATATTATTCAGCTGTTTTATGGTCATAAAGATCAAGCTATGGTCATCTCCCTAAACGCTGAAAAAGCATTTAATCGAGTTGAATGGTCATACCTTTTTTTTGTCTTAGAAAGATTTGATCTAGGAGATACTTTTATTAATTGGATAAAACTACTCTACAATACACCATATGACTCTGTGGTTACTAACGGCTATAAATCACGTAATTTCACCCTTGGCCATGGAGTTCGACAAGGAGATCCTCTTAGTCCTTTACTCCTTGAGTTGGACATTGAGCCATTAGCACAATCAATTAGGCAAAATCCACATACAGTATATCTGGCATTTTGGTCTATCATAAAGAGCACAAAATTTCACTTTATGCGGATGATTTATTAATATTTCTTTCCAAACCACACAGGTATATTCCTTTACAGATCCATGCAATTTCTTTGTTTAGCAATTTTTCAGGCTATAAAATTAATTATTCAAAATCTGAGACAATGCCTCTGGGATCTTTGGTCTCTATTTATCTGTACCCTTTCCATTTCGCTGGTCTCCTTCTGGTTTTTCCTACTTAGGTATTTTTGTAACTCCCCACTTTAGTATGATCTACAAGGCCAACTATCCATCTCTTTTGGAGTCCATAAAAGTAGATTTAGAACATTGGGCTGCCTTACCTCTTTCGTGGTAAGGCAGAGTTTCTCTTATTAAAATGTATATCTTGCCAAAATTGCTTTACCCTTTACAGATGTTGCCATTCTTATTGACAAAGAAGGTTATTTGCATTCTTGAGGGTTGGTTGAGTTCATTTATCTGGAGCAAAAGGAAGCCTAAATTGAAAATGTCAAAATTACAAGGTCCTGGTTCTGATGGAGGAGTAGACCTGCCGAATATAAGATATTATCAGTTAGCAGTACACATGCGGATAATATATCATTGGTTCAAAAATGACTCCTCCTCAGTCTGGCTTGACATTGAATCTTCTCAGTCTAATTGCCCTCTTTGGAATTTGCTTTTTTTAACTGGTTCAGTCAATGATTGCTGTTCGAACCCTATCTCTTTGAACACAGTTAAAGCCTGGAAGTTGGCCCGTACATTAGCAGGATGTTCTGATTCCACCTCTCTTCTCACTCCCATTTTGAAAAACCCAGACTTCTTGCCTGGTTGTAATGACTATGGTTTTCAGCAGTGGTATAACAAGGGTTTCAAAAGATTGGGGGATTTATTTTTGAATCAAGTTTTGATGTCCTTTCAGCATGCTAAGCAGCAGTTTGGCTTAGCTGGAGCAGATTTTTTTTTCGATTTCTGCAAGTTAGGCATTTTATTACCAACAATAACATATCAATAAGTAAAGATCTGATATGGAGAAGGATATACATTCACATAATGGTGTGAAATCTATCACTGTATTTCATAAGCTGCTGCTCTCCTATTCTCCATCTGCCTCCATCGCTGCGAAACTGGCCTGGGAAAAGGATATGGACACTTTTATAGAACCTCAAGTCTGGTCTACCATATGGGACAATGCTGCTAAGATCTCAGTTTGCAACAGAACAAAATCAGTTCAGTTTAGGATTCTACATCGGACACATATCACACCTGTTCTTAAAAATAAGATGGACCCTAAATGTTCTCCTCTTTGTTGGAAGTGCAAATCTGTCGCTGGTGATTATTTTCATTGTACGTGGTCTTGTATGAAAATTTTGAAGTACTGGTCTGATGTGGTCAAAGAGTTGTATTACATTTTTAATGTTACTTTGCAGCTAAACCCAAAATTCCTACTTTTGTGCCTGTCTGATCCGTTAGTTAAGCCTGAACACAAACAGCTTTATAACCTGCTGACTTTTACTGCCAGGAAGAATATTTTGCTTTTCTGGATTAAAGATTCGGGACCCTCATTGAAATCATGGCATGGTTTAATACGGGAACGCATTTCTAATGAGTATATTACTTGTTTACTTAACTCTTCACTGGACATTTTCAATTCTACCTGGGATCCCTACTTGAAATATGTTGGGCCTGAGGTGGCCTCTCAATTACTCCAAGGTCTATCGTCCTACTGATTGGTTGATTAAGGTTACTATTTTATTCCCTTAATGTTTCTTTATTTGATCTGAGCTACTGTATGCATTTTTTTTCTGTCTGTATTTCTTGAATTGTTTTTCGTTGTGTGTTTTTCTTAAATTAATTTAAAAAATGGGGAAGAATAAGGGGCAGAGGCTGGCATGGTGCCTGTTTTCCCTCCACCCCAACTCTAATCCAAAAACCCTAAATGTCTACAAGCAACAACTGGGAGTGGGCACAGGCATCAGTGGTGAGAATATACAATCCTGCCAACCTTTCTCACACATTTGTTGATAAGTTCCTGGTACACTGTATTTAAGCTCCTTCCCTGGAGCATTCTATTACTGGTACAGAGTCTGTAGCCCTCTGAGTCTTTTCCCTTTGAGAATCTCTGTATATATTTTTTCCTTACCTTTTTGTGTTCAAGGATCCCTTGAAGAATCGCCCTCTGCTCATCAGGTCTCCATACCACAGGTCTCCTCTACTAATGTCCTCCCTGCCACTCTCTACCATCTCCACTTTACCTCATCTTACTTAACACATTCAAAACCTCTCTCCAGCCTGAATCCAACCCCAAAACCCCATTTATGAACCTTGAACTTCAAGTTAAGTTACCCAACTGGATTTGTTTTCTAATCTTTACTGTATGTTGTTGTGATTCTACAACCATTTGGTATTGGAAACAGTATGTATATTTGACACTGTGTGAACTGTACATATTGCAGGAAAAGTTATTAGTCCAGTCTCATGTCCCCTTGTGTAACACCTTCTATTATCTGTCATCTTGCCTGAACTACAGCTCTCACCTGTTGTTTTTACTGTCTGGATTTAAAGAGAATTCGTCTCCAGCCCATAGTTAAAATAAACAAGAAACAAAATTTAAAAATCAACAAAAGATACAAGTTTCTTGTAATAAATTTGTGGCATGTTATGATGGAAAGAATCATGTACCTCTACTAACTGCAGGTGGAGTCTGGAAGGTTGAATGCGATGAAGATCTCCAATAAAAGGAAGAGCCCGTGGTCCTGGAGGGAAGTTTTTTGGTTTTCTGTTCTTCAAAATGTCGCTGAGCAGAAGGAAAACACAGACAAATACTAGAATACTCCTGGCGTCTAACCACTCCAAGCCTAGAATACTGTATATTGCCTCCATCTCTTGGTTTAGCAGCACTGCTACAGTTTCAGTGCTCAGACGAGTTATTGCATAATGAGCTGCAGCACGTGCATGTCTTTCAAATTAAAGGCATTTGTGCACACGCGTATTGACTCTGATCAAAGATCAATGTTCTTCATGTGGGGAAAATGTCAGAGAAAAGCTGTTACTGTTTAACACGTCAGTAAATAATTAATAATTTAAAATACAAAACTGGTACCAAATACTATAAAAATTTGTTCAAAGTTCTCCATTTAAAGCCTATGCACCTACAAAGTGAGTTGCACACTTATATCAAATTTTAGTTGCGTGGCCAACAACTTAGAAAGTATCCAGGCAGTGTTTGCACAAAAAAAAGTAAGTAAGTGACAAACATAATCTACAAGTATGGTGGGTTTGAGGTTAGGAGAGGTCCAAAAGCACATCTTTTTCTTTTTTACCAGACCCCCCAAAAAAATTACTTATGTTCTTACACTTTTGAAAAAATAGAGGAAATGGACCAGATTTGTAAACCTTTGCTAATTAAAAGAGATTTTAGGGGCTCAGAAAAACAAACAAGGGAGGTTTTGTGGAAAGATACATTTCTTCATTGCAGATGTGCTGCAGTAAATCACCTTATTGAAACCTTTAACTTTTATACTGATTTTGCTTTATTTAATGCAGATTTGATGTAAAGTTATACGTAGATGGGTGTTCAAAAGAACCCACTCCTTGTTTTCCTACACAATTCTGTCAGCAGACAGCTGAAATGCTGCCAGTTCCTAGCTTGTTTTTATTTTCAATTTGGGTCACAAGACTCCATTAACTTTATATAACATTCTGGGTCCTTTTTATCTTAGTCATACAAACTTCACCTGGTCTGCAGCCCTGTGATGATGGCTGTTAAGATTCCAATTTATAAAACTGTGCGTACGCACACCGTCAAGCATTTTTCCTTCATAGATCACAGCTGAACCTCAGAGTTTGCACACAAGGTCCCACCTCAGGTTCTGCCCTCTACAGGCCCACACAGAGATAACCCCATGTCAAAACCATGGATATGATTCTAACTGAGAGCTTCCCTCCCTGGTTCGAAGATGGTATCTATTGAAGCAAAACAACCAATCACCACAAAACACAGAAAACACACAAAGTCGTTCCGGTTTATTTTGGCCAGTTAAAATTAACTGACTTTTGTTAAAGAGAGTAAAATTGAGTGATTAATATGTGGTTACATACAATCACTACGTTTCTATTGGTTTATGCTTTTAAGCAATTTGTCTACCAGTATTAACCAGCACTTCCAAGTGGGCAGGTAGATTTCTTTTCAGCTGGGAAATCTCAATATTCAAATGTAATTTGAGGTTTCTATTATTCTGAAAATGTTCCACTATTTTTAGACGAAGCTTTTCACAGGTGGAGAGACTTTCACTAGGCGTCTGCCTGATGAACGACAAACACCGTAGCACTCCTTTGTCAGTCAAAGGGGAAGAGGCCTTCTGGGGCTCGGTCTTTCAGCAACGTGGCAGTGGGTCAAAACCAGCAGGTCTACGAGGAACTCTGGAGAACTCACAGCAGGATGATAACTCCAGGTTTTAGGCTTAGCAAGGCTTAGCAGCCCGACACAAAAATGGTATTTCATCAAAAAGTTATTTCCTTGTAAGAAACGAGAAAATTATGCTGCACGGTTTCCAGTATAGAAAAAGAGTGAGGCAGCTGGGAAGATGACCAGCGTCAGGCCCAGCAGGGCAAACAGACAAGACAAGACTGAGGAACAGGAAGTAACTGTAAGGTTTTAAAGATACAGGAAGGAGTGTGTGTGTGTAGGGGTGTTTTCTGCAGGTGGCCAGTGTATTGAAGAGTTCTCACGAGAACCGAAGCGTGTGTGTGTGTGTGTGTGTGTGTGTGTGTGTGTGTGTGTGTGTGTGTGTGTGTGTCTTTGTGTATGCTAAACACAAAAAACATCAAATGCAAAGTTATAAAATAACTAGAGAGCCCTTGAAAAGTAAAGACAAAAAGTCAAACACATTTTAAAGAGTTTAAGCGTTTCAATTGTACATGTTTGAAGAAGAGCAGTAACAGACAGAATGTTTGTTTTGACTTGTTTTTATCAACAGAATAACAAATCTCTTGAGAACAAGATCTTCCCCAGGGGAAAGGAGAGAGACAGTGAAAGAAGGCTTATTTTTTGATAGTTCTCAGTGAGGACTGAAACAGTTTACTCTGAAAGAGGAGGGCTTTGACCTCAGGGGGTCAAATGTCAACAAATGGTGAGATGAGGCGAGGTGAGATGAGGCGAGGTGAAATGGGCGTGTACACTACAACCATAAACAGTCAATGCAAGTACCTCATGAATATTAAGGTGTATTTAAATGAGTTAACTGATCATTATATTGTGTTCATTTTAAATTTTTTATAAAAAATATATTTTGATCTAAAATCTAAGTTTGATTATGAATTAAAATAAAATATTTGAGTGATCATGATGCATTGTGGCTAGAATTCCTCACTTCACCATCTGTGTCACCAGCTGTGTGCCCCGTATGCATGGGTCAGAGCTGGCGTGAGGGACCACACATTTTCACACCAAGTTTGAATTTTATAAATCAGAACCTTTGTGTAAAAAGTGGTGTACGCAAGTTTCTGGGCTCATTTTGTGCATAAGGGAACTTTATAAATGCCACCCCTGGTGAGTTGTGCAGTGGCAGGAGAGTGATAGGATGCACAATAAGGCTTAAGGTGTTTGACTTGGACGTTAAAATTGTGTTGTAGAGTGATACCTCCAGTGCAAAGGATCCATGAGTTCCAGAGATTGTGTTGTCCAGACAGCTTAGAGGGTCTGAACATGAAATGAGAAGCTCAAGGTAAGAGCTAGGAGGCACAGAGAAACACATGTTAGTAGCTTCAGAAATATTCTGTGCATAAGGATGTTATGATATGGTACCAAGCTGGACATGGAATTATTAGTTGGCCAATATTCCAGTGAAATCTAGTGATTCCAGCCAGACTGAAGCACCCGAGTAGCCTCATTAAGGAATGAGCCACAGCTGTGGTTGTCAGTTTGATCTGACTAGTGAATCAGACAGGATGTGCAAAGATGAGTTACTGACATCACACAGCAATCCCTGCAATCTCTCACTGAAATCCTTTCATTTTTCCACTGAAGGGGATAAATAATTTATAGATGCAGCACCACGTGAAAAACAATACTCAGGTGTTAAAAATAGATGCTCTGTAGCTGTTTTAAATGAATCAGTCTTTAGTCTCTGGGTGGTCTGTGGTGGATTTTCTGAAATAAAGGTGGACTCATGGATTAAACAAGTCAACTTTCTTTTGTGAAGCTTTATTAAAAAAAAAAAGATTAATACAATAGCAGATCCTGAGTTCAACAGTCTACATAGAATCTGAGGAAGTGGCAGCAGAAGTTAAAGGCAAAACAAGGAGTCTACATCAGGCTCCTGATTCGTGTGTTTTCAGACCCAAAAGTCAAATCACCATCCAGGACACTCCCATGATCAGAGCATATATGCAGCCCAGAGCCAAAAACCCAAACTGGATTAACCAGATAAGGAGCCATAAAAAAGGTTGAAAAATTCAGTCCTCCAAACAAAACATTCTTATTTACCAAAGTTAGGTATTAATGGTGACAGAAAAAGTTGTTTTCTATGTTTGATGTGAGAAATGCCTCCTTTATTTCTATGGATACATTTGAAAGCAGCACAACAAAAACTGTATGATCCCACAGTCTGAAAGTCTTTGAATTTATAGATTTTCACTCACACAAATTTCAGAACACACTCTTAAATCACTTCATCGCACCTGGATGAAGTATTACAACCCTTATAACAGAACACTCTTACTGATAATAAAACTGATTTATAACTGAGAAAACTACACATCTGTCATCAGAGCATCATTACACCAATTTGTTTATTCGTAGTTTTGATATAATGCAGTAAAAATATGTTGAAAGACTTTGATTTGTCTGGCTCAGTTTAAAGCAGTATGCAGTTTAACGTGGTACAGTACAGAGGAGGTAGGGTTTAGGAAGGCGAGTTCCTCCCATCTTGAACTCCAGACTGGGCTTCTCGCCTGCAGGAGGGGACACCTTAAACCTCTGAAGGATGGAGGAGAAAAAAAGGAACAACTCCATCCTGGCCAGCTGTTCTCCAAGACACACGCGCTTACCTAAGGATATAAAGACGAAACATTTTTAGAAACCTTTATTTAACCAAGTATATCTCATTGAGGTTAGCAAACTCATTTCAAAGAGGGACTTGGCCAAGAATAGCAGCAGCACACATACGTTACCAAATCCTAAAACTGCAATTAAATACATCATGTAACATAAATACAAACTACACAAAAAACACACTTTTAAAAGCTAAGATAGGACAATGTCAATTAAAACAACGATAAACAAATGTGTCGTTTGCAAATGGTTTAAAAATGACCTTAGCAACATTAATACAGACCAACACCTTCACCTCTCCTTGGGCTGCCACCTTATCGTGGTGGAGAGGTTTGAGTGTCCCATTGATCCTAGAAGCTATGTTGTCAGGGGCTTCATGCCCCCACTAGGGTTACCCAAGGAAAACAGGTCCTAGGTGAGGGATCAGACAAAGTGCAGCCCAAAGACCCCTATGATGAACACAATAAATGGATTCAGTGTTCCCTCGCCCAGACGCGGGTCACCGGGGCCCCACTCTGGAGCCAGGCCTGGAGGTGGGACACATTGGCGAGCGCCTGGTAGCCAAGCTTTCACCCATGGAGCCCAGTCGGGCACAGCCCGAAGAAGAGACATGGGTCCCCCTTCCCATAGGCTCACCACCTGTGGGAGGGGCTGTAGGGGTCGGGTGCAATGTGTGTTGCGCAGTGGTTGAAGGCGGGGACCTTGGCGGTCCGATCCTCGACTACAGAAGCTGGCTTTAGGGACGTGGAATGTCACCTCTCTGGTGGGGAAGGAGCCTGAGCTGGTGTGTGAGGTTGAGAGGTGCCGACTAGATATATAGTTGGACTCACCTCGAAGCACCGCTCTGGCTCTGGAACCAGTCTCCTCGAGAGGGGTTGGACACTCTTCCACTCTGGAGTTACCCATGCTGAGAGGCGCCGAGCAGGAGTGGGCATACTTGTTGCCCCCCATATCGGTGCCTGTATGTTGGGGTTCACCATGGTGAACAAGAGGGTAGACTCCCTCTGCCTATGGGTGGGGGGACGGGTCCTGACTGTTGTTTGTGCCTATGCACCTAATAGCAGTTCAGATTACCCACCCTTTCTGGAGTCCTTGGAGGGGTTGACGGAGAGTGCTCCTAAAGTGGACTCCCTCGTTCTGCTGGAGGACTTCAACACTCACGTGGGTAATAACAGTGAGACCTGGAGAGGCGTGGTTGGGAGGAACGGCCACCCCGACCTGAACCCGAGTGGTGTTTTGTTATTGGACTTCTGTGCTCATCATGGATTGTCCATAACGAACAACATGTTCAAGCATAAGGGTGTCCTTATGTGCTCTTGGCTCCAGGACACCTCAGGCCGCAGTTCGATAATCGATTTTGTCATCGTTTCATCGGATCTGCGGCCGTATGTCTTGGACACTCGGGTGAAGAGAGGGGCGGAGCTGTCAACTGACCACTACCTGGTGGTGAGTTGACTCTGTTGGTGGAGGAGGATGCCGGTCAGACCTGGCAGACCCAAACATACAGTGAGGGTCTGCTGGGAACATCTGTCAGAGTCTCCCGTCAGACGGAGCTTCAACTCACACCTCCAGAGGAACTTCGAACACGTTCCGGGGGAGGTGGGAAACACTGAGTCCAAGTGGGCCATGTTCTGTGCCTCCATTGTCGAGGCAGATTACCTGAGCTGTGGCCATAAGGTTGTCGATGCCTGTCATGGCGGCAACCCTCGAACCCGCTGGTGGACACCGGCGGTGAGGGATGCTGTCAGGCTGCTTTCGGAGTCCTATCGGGTCTTTTTGGCCTGTGGGACTCCGAAAGCAGACAATAGGTATCGGCAGTCCAAGCGGATTGCGGCTCGGGTGGTCACTGAGACAGAAACTCGGGCATGGGAGGAGTTAGGAGAGGCCATGGAAAAAGACTTCCGTATGGCTTCGAGGCGATTCTGGTCCACCATCCGGCGTCTCAGGGGGGGAAAGCGGTTCGCCACCAAAACTATTTATGGTGGGGATGGTGTGGTGCTGACCTCAACTCAGGACGTTGTGGGTCAGTGGGCAGAATACTTCGAAGACCTCCTCAATCCTTCCAACATGTCTTCCCATGAGGAAGTAGAGCCTGAGGACCCTGGGTCGGACTCTCCAATCTCTGGTGCCGAGGTCATGGAGGTGGTTAAAAAGCTCATCGGTGGCAGGGTGCCGGGGGTGGATGAGATTCGCCCGGACTTCCTTAATGCTCTGGGTGTTGTGGGGTTGCATTGGTTGACACGACTCTACAATATCGCATGGACATTGGGGCAGTTCCCCTGGATTGGCAGACAGGGTTTGTGGTCCCCCATTTAAAAAGGTGGACCGTAGAGTGTGTTCCAACTATAGGGGGATCACAGTTCTGAGCCTCCCTGGTAAGGTCTATTTGGGGGTTCTGGAGAGGAGGGTCCATCAGATAGTCGAATCTCGGATTCAGGAAGAGCAGTGTGGTTTTTGTCCTGGTCATGGAACAGTGGACCAGATCTACACCCTTAGCAGGTTCCTGGAGGGTGCATGGGAGTTCGCCCAACCATTCTACATGTGTTTTGTGGACTTGGAGAAGGCGTTCGACTGTGTCCCTCGGGGACTCTTGTGGGGGTTACTCCAGGAGTATGGGGTACCAGACCCGTTGATACGGGTTGTTAGGTCCCTGTATGACTGGTGCCAGAGCTTTGTCCGCATTGCCGGTAGTAAGTCGGACTCGTTTCCGGTGAAAGTTGGACTCCGCCAAGGTTGCCCTTTGTCACCGATTCTGTTCATAGCTGTATTGGACAGAATTTCTAGGCGCAGCCAAGGTGTTGAGGGGATCCTTTTTGGTGACCTTAGGATCACATCTCTGCATTTTGCGGATGATGTGGTCCTATTGGCTTCATCAGATCGTGATCTCCAGCTCTCACTGGAGCGGTTCGCAGCCAAGTGTGAAGTGGCCGGGATGAGGATCAATGTCTCCAAATCCGAGCCCATGGTCTTGAGCTGGAAAACAGTAGCATGCCGCCTCCGGGTCGGGGAGGAGGTCCTGCCCCAAGTGGAGGAGTTTAATTATCTCAGGGTCTTGTTCATGAATGAGGGAAGAATGGAGCGGGAGATCAACAGGTGGATTTGTGCTGCATCTGCAGTGATGTGAGCGCTGTACCGGTCTGTTGTGGTGAAGTGGGAGCTGAGCCAGAAGGTAAAGCTCTCGGTTTACCGGTCGGTCCACATTCCTACCCTCATCTAAGGTCACAAACTTTGGGTAGTGACCAAAAGAACGAGATCGTGGATACAAGTGGCCGAAATGAGTTTCCTTTGCAGGGTGTCTGGGCTCTCCCTTAGAGACAGGGTGAGAAGCTCGGTCATCCGGAAGGGACTCAGAGTAGAGCCATTGCTCCTCCACGTCGAGAGGAGCCAGTTGAGGTGGCTCGGGCATCTGGTTAGGATGCCTCCTGGATGCCTCCCTGGTGAGGTGTTCCGGGCATGTCCCACTGGGAGCAGACTCAGAGGAAGACCCAGGACATGCTGGAGGGACTATGTTTCTCGGCTGGTCTGGGAATGCCTTGGAATCTCCCCAGACGAGCTGGCCCAAGTGGCTGGGTAGAGGGAAGTCTGGGTCTCTCTGCTTAGGCTGCTGCTCCTGCGACCCGACCCAGGATAAGCGGCAGAAAACGGACGGTCGGTCGGACAGTACCTTCAACTTAATGTTTTTTGTAAATGTGCAAGAAACTTTGTTCTGAGGCTGCAGTAATAATCAAAGGTGTGAGACGGGGGAAATATTTTTCATTCCGAAATTTGTCTAGAGCAGAAACAAACAACAAAAGACAAACTAACCTGCAGAAAACGGCATGAAGGCCTCTCTGTTCCTAAATTTGCCATCTTCATCCAGAAAGTGTTGAGGGTTGAAGGTGCGTGGGGTCTCCCACATCGTCTTATCATGCAGTACAGAATGAAGCGTTGGTATTATCATCGTGCCCTGAAGAGAAGAATATTTTTAAGTATTCAAAATAAAAATTATATATATATATGTGAGTGTGTGTGTGTG